GGGAAAGAGAAAGCGCAAATGAGAGACCCAGCTCTGAGAAGATAGGATTTCAGGGTGGGGAGTGACTCAACATGTCCACGTGCTGGAATCTCCCCCGCACGCTGCTCTCCTCGCTACAACTAACTAGTCGCAGGTACAGATGAGGAAGTGGGACCGGGATGCACTGGCCCTCACTCTGCTGACTGCCAGGGCTGGTCCTGGCCACCATGTGGCCTTCCTCAGATGCCAGGACATCAGGCAGTGATGCCTCACTCTCTCATTCCTCACGAGGCCCTGTTTCCTTAGGTACAAAACCACGTTTGATTCATCTGCTCTCAAGTATACAATACTTCTGAAAGTGAAATGGCCATGCACTAGAGCTCCCTGGACCCTCTGTGCCATTTTATGATGGATGCTGAAGGAAATAACACAAATACTTTGGCAAATCAGTGCAGGTCTAGTTGCTGCTTCGAAAATTTCCCCAATGAAATAATTTACAACGTGAAAAGGCTTTCTAAGGAAGCTTGGTTTGGGAGTGGGCAGTGAGTAACATTCCTTGAATGGAACCTTTCTCCCGTGACGCCCTCCTTACTGGGACCTACTCCCATCCCCCTATGGCCTCAAAGCTGGAGCGAAAGCTGCTAAATGGCCCCTAGGCAGACCCTGGGCCAGTTGTGAATGGCCACCAGTAGGTTCCAATGGCCACTGCACCTGATGCTAGGAGCCTCGCCCTTCCTCCCCTGCGCCGACGAGATGGAGCAGGACAGGCCCTGGGCTATGAAAGGAGCCTGCCGTCCAAATGGAGTGGACGGTACAATCAGGAGGGTACCCAGGAGGGTGTGGGGACACGGAGGAGGGTGCCCCAGGGAGGGCTTCCCAGAGGAATGAAGGCTGGTATTGATTCCTGAAGGGCAGGGGGAGATGTGAGGGAAGCCGGCACCAGCAAAGGGAACGGCATGTCAAGGGCAGGAGCATTAGAAACCAAAGTGGCTCAGCACAGCCCAAACATGGCCTGCGTGTTGCAAGCGGTGCACACCATCTGTGGGGTTTAAAGCTTAAAGCCTGTGGGAGATGGGAGGCTGCTCCTGGGACCCATATGGTCAGAGCGAGTTCCCTAGGAGGCCGGGTAGCCAGGAGTTCTTGTTTGGCACCATCCAGATGACAAATGACGGGGCCCTGACCGGGACGGCGGCAGGGGCGTTGCGAGGAGAAGACAATTCTGCGAACACTTAGGGGTTGTAGTCAGCAAGGTCAGATGACCTACCAGGTGCTGGGGGCTGGAGGAGAGGAGAGAACTGAAGATGACCCCAGGCTTCTGACATGGGTATCTGCTTGGATGACGGGACTCTGGGCCAGGCAGGTGACCCGGGGTGGGAGCAGTGCTGGGCAAAGATGATGAACTTGGTCTCAAACCCGGCCGACTCTGAGGGATGCGGGGGGCCCTAAAGGGGCCATATCCAACCTTGCCTGCAGGGTCAGAGTAAGACCCCTTAGAAAAACAGCCTTCTCCTGTTCTTGCTGGCCTCCTCCCTGGGGAACGAACCCTGTTCCTTATTCTTCCAGAAATGGCTGGGGTCATGTCATGAATTCATTATCAACTCCCCAGAGCCACAGCGTGGCCTCCTGCCTGACTTCTCCTGTGGCCGCCCCTTTCCCGGGCCAGGCTGCACCTGTGCGGGGCCCTCCTGAGCAGTCACACTGCACAGCAGCCCGCCCCACTGCTCCTGCCTGTTAAGCGTGGAGCACAAACACAGCTCACCTTTATCCTCTCTTTGCAGAGAAAATAGGCAGTGGCGTGAAGCACATCGGCAGAATGTGTAGAATTGTGGTAGGGGTTAGAAGCATGATAATTGGCTTCGATAATTTGCAACCATGATCTCAGCGTTGTCTCAGAGCATTTTAAGACTTCACAGACTCCAAAGCGAGCAAATATTTTGAGACCAAGATAAATCAAAGGCCTACAGAGAAAAACATCCACAGTGTTAAAACAAAGCAAAGAAACAGGCAAAGTGTTGGATCTATTCAGATCCAACAAGCAAACCCGAGCCAGACTTCAGAGAGTGTGCAGGGCAGCAAAGTGGAGCCTGTGCAGGTGGCACATGGGTGGCACGTGGGTGGCGCTCTGTTGCCCTCTCTCCTGGTAGCCAATGCCAACCTTTGGGTGGAGCCCAGCTCCAATTCTGGGAGCATTCACCTGGTGCGCCCCACTGGCTGGGGCGAGGTTTGTTCACCCTGCCCTTCCTGATGCAGGCTCCTACTGACACTAGTAGAGTCTTCAAATCAACATGCTGCCAGGCTAAACCTGTTCCACCTTAAACCCTATCCTCTCCTTTGGACCTGCTGGACCTATGTCATTGGCCAGATGTCCTGTGTGGGAGAAAACAACAGTTCCTGATGACAGCCTATGAGCCAGAGGCTGTCACATGTCATGTGATGGTCTCGACAACCTGGAAGTGGGTGTTACAGTATGAGGAGGTTTCCCCAGAGAAGGTGACGAACTGGCCAGCAAAGCAGGCCCTTCCTTGAGAAGTCACCTTCATCCAGCATCTGGCCTTTGCTTGGAAGATCAAGAAACTTGGCTCTGCTGAGGCAGTATCCAGAGGTGGCCGGGCTCACAGGACTTGAACAGACCTGCCTTGTCCCAGGTTCACACGAATACAACGTACCAGTATGTAAACCAGGTACCCACAGCTCTGTTTGCCACGGGAATATTCTTTTCCACAGTCCTTGGCTGTGTGGGGTACCTGGACGCAGAATGTTTTAGAAGGTCGACTCACGGTGAGCATGAGCCACGGGTAGGGGCTGGCTTGGGGACCGTCACCCAGACTGGGATGAGACCTGACGAGTTATCCCATGGCCAGCAGAGCACCCCTCTCCTGCAGTGGCCTTCTGTCTGCCAGGGTCCGGACCTCACCCTCCTGAAGGTTAACGCTGGCTGGCATCAGGCCTGGACACCCTTGCCTGTGTGCCAAGCCAACCACACACCTTTGCTTGACCGTTCTTCTCCAGCAAGGTACAAAATGGAAGGTAAAATCCCAATCCCACCGTACTCTCGGTGACCACATTCAGATCAGGATGGCTGAAGTTTGGGGTGTCCCCATGCCTGTCACCAACACAGCAACCAAGATCTGGGGACAGCTCTTATCAATGTGTATGTTTGTGTATTTCTAATTTTTAGTTCTAGGCTCTGAGTGGGGCTCTTTGCTGCTATCTCAACATATCACAACCTACAGGAGAAATTAATAACCATATTTTACAGAAAAAAAAACCTCTGCTATTTGGAGAGGTTAGATCACTTGCTCAATTTCATGCTTGCTCTCTCTGCAGAAGTCACAGCCAGGCAGACTCCCCTCGGCTTCTCACTGATCCCCTCGTTGAGGTCTAGGCCCTGGTGACTCAGGGCACCTGCTGTGCTTTCCTGAGCCTCCTCCCTGACCAGGGACTGGCTCTGTGCAGAAACCATACTCCTTGGGTGGCTTTCTCTACACCGGCCCTTGGAATCAAGCTCTCTGTCTGCCGAGCTCCACGTGGACTCACCTTTTATGAGTGGCAGCCTCCAGTTCAAAAATATCAAAGTCCCAGGATTCCTCATTTTCCATGGCCTGAGTTATCTGTGATGGGATGTCGTGAAGGGAGGTGGGAGTGATCACACTGCTGGAAACCTGTTGAAGGTCTGCAAAGTGATGTGATTCGGAGAACAAAATTAATAGGCTTAACAGCATTAACTGTTCCTCAGGGAGAACAATTCTGCTTCAGGGGACGGTTGCTTTGTTTCTCATTTTTGATGATATACCAAAAAACTTCTTACTGCTAAAAAAAATTATCTTAAAACTTTTATCTGAAAAATTTATTTCCATCACTTAAGCATGGCTGTAATACTAATAGTGGTCCAAAAAACTAAAAAGGAGAAACTTACTTTTTGTTGAAAGGACATACTCATTCCTGGATGGTCTTCGAAAAACATCCTGATAAAAATCAAGGAAACAAGAGAAAGGGAAGTCACAACTATTCTTTACTCCTTGAAAACCCCAGGACGGTGGGTCCCAGAGGACGCTGCGGGCAGCCCTCTCCATTAATGCATGCCGAGGCTTCCCTGTGATCACCTCTGCAGCCAACCCCGAGCTCAGTCACTCACCCAGGAGCACACAGCCTGACGCTGCAAGGACCTGCTCAACTCCGGGGTAGGGGCATCACCAGGACAGCGAGCTCGGGAGACGCCCCAGAGCCCAGCGTCCTGCTGGCCCTGCTGGCACTCAGGACCGGATGACGCCCCTCTGCCCTCAACCCTTTCCCCCCATTTCCTGCCACCCTCCTCAATGCTCGTGGACACCAGCCTTCCTCAGGAAAACTAGATTCTTCCCTACTCTCTAAGGACCCTTGCTCCACCCCCAAGCCCCTGAGCGACCCCTCTCCTCAGCCCTGCGGTGCTTTCTCCCCATGCTGCCTCTCTTCACCCCTCACCCCCGGCACTATCCCCCCCCGCCCCTCATCCTTTCTCCCCACCCCCTCACCTACAGGCTGGAGGAGCCTCTGTCTCAAACAGACAAGACCACAACTAGACATCATCATCGCTGGGAACCCTCTACCCATCTGATTATTGCTTAAAACCTTATTTTTATGAAATCAAGTGACTTTAGAAAGCAGGAATTAGGAGGGGGGATGAATTTTTACTTCTGAATTTTGTCACCAAGACAAAAAAGGTGACAGATGGCAACGGAATGATCTGTTTTCCACAAAGTTGTTCTTCCCCTGTAAGGCCTCTATACTAGATGGGGTGGAGGAGGCATCTAGACCCCTCAAGAGCCCATGGTGTAAAGCCTCCTTCTAATGAATTGGTTCCAAGGCCTTCTTCCCCATGAAGTCACCAAACCTGTATAGGATGCTCTAGAGGGAAACCACGCCCCATTCACTGGTGCTTTTTTTTTTTTTTTTTTTTTGGGTGGGTGGGGGCGCCATGCTGTGCGGCTTGTGGGAATCTTAGTTCCTGGACCAGGGATCGAACCCGTGCCCTCTGCAACGGAAGCACAGAGTGCTAACCACTGGACCACCAGGGAAGTCCCCCTGGTGCCTCTTTAGACATATACAGTCATTCTGTTTTGTAATATGGTATGAAATATTTCATAAATTTTTCTTTTCTGCCCGTTTTCAAAATCTTAAAACTAGCTAGCTGTCTAGAATGTGCTCCTCCCTTTTCTGCTTCAAGCTGAGGTCCCCCTGGGTGGTAGGCAGCAGGTGGGTGATGGCTCGGCCAGAGGGCAGTAATGGAGGGCTTAGGCCTTGACTGAGCCCCACACACAAAGAGCGCTGTGTAGGCCAGCACATAAACAAATAACCTCTGAGAAAACAAATGAGAACAGCAGGATCTAGCCAGCAGCCTGGTCAAATATACTTACAGACATTAAGCCCCCAACAAGGTCGATGGCATGAGGATCATCATCCTTAGCATCGAATTGTGGTGAATATAATTCAGTGGTTCTTAGAATTTCCAGCACACGGTCTAAGGCTTCTGTCACAGGCATGGGACTGCTTTCCTGGGCAGCACTGATGATATTGATTGCCTATAATACGGAAAGAAAAAGACCTGAGTTTCATAATGTTAAATACAATGGGAAAGCAATCCAGAGAGTCAGGCTGGCAGTAGGGCTCAACGCTAACTTAAGGCTAGTTAAAGTGCTCATGTCACGCATCCTCTCTCTTCAGAAGAGGCAGCTCCATACAACTAGGAGAGCATCGTTATTGTCGTGGGTCCCTTGGTGGCTCTTCTTGCTGAAAACAATCAACCAGGAGAACAAGGGACTTCCATACTCAATGGAGACTGACCACAAACTGTTTCACCTTGGTGATGGGCGCCTCGATCTTCATGGAATGTATCCGGGCCGTGGAGGAGCGTCGTCTCTGGCTGGAAACTGTGGAGAGATCACGTGATACAGAAATCAGGGTGTTCACAGCCTTGGGTATCTGTCTCCCTTCCTGCCCCAGGCCCCATCCAGCATGCTCAGCTGCACAGTGAAGGGGTAGGACCAGAACTACCTGGTCGCTGAGCTTCCTTCCCATCCTAACAAGCCTGGGATTCTGGCATCACCACCTCTGCTTCCTTCAGCTCTAGGCACTAGGATGCACGTGCACCCATAGACTGAAATTCTGAGGTCACAGGCCAGAGAGAAAACAGAGGAAACAATCTAGCAAGTCAGGGCCAAACAGTTAGCCTCTTTTTGTGTTTCTAACAATAAGGCTTTATAATTATTCAGCTTGCTGCTCTCCAGGAGTAAAAATGTTCTGAAAGACAATGCCACAGAGGCTCCTTGTTTCATATATGGCAGGAGCAATAAATACAACTCAATTAACTGAAATACATGAATTTCTGGTTCAATTTTTCAAGGCATCCTTTGGTGCTTTCCACTGTTCTGCTCAATCTAGACGGGTTAGGTAAATATCTTAAGTGAGGCAGGCAGCAAATGTTAGACTCTAAAGTTCGTTTATTTTTTGTTGCTCCTGTCAAGATCCAGTTCCTTTGGGGTGGGGAGAAGCCTGGGCAGTGAACTGGCAGGAAAACATATTCACATAGTGTTCTGTGTCTCTCCCTGAAAGCCCCACTGTCAGGCCAAATGCTGTTTACCAAAGGTCTTAAAGGACCACAGACTGTTCCACAGCCTGAGGCATCAGCCTTATTTTACCAAACTGGGGCCCAAGGAGAAACAACCAAGATTAACCAACTCAGGGGCTCTCAAATGCTCTAAATTTCAGAGACCAACAAAACTCCTTAAATCTAATTTTGGTGATCAGCACATGGTTGCCATCTTTCCATTTTAACCAACAAGGTCATTAAACCAAAAATAAAAACCACTATTCTATCACTATGTCATAAAAAGACTTGTTCTCATTTAAAAATATAATGAAAGTGACATATACTTATAAAGACCAAACAATAGTGTGAATGTAATAAAGTAAGAAAAAGAAATAAAAGGTATAAAGATTGTCATGACTGTGTATGCAGAAAGTCTGAAAGAATCTACAAATGCTACTCTTATAATCAATAAGCTAGTTTATCAAGGTTACTGGGTACAAGGTCAATACATAAAAAGTCAATTATATTTCTATATACTAGCAACAAACAACTGGAAACTGAAATAAAAAAACACCATTATGACAGCATCATAAAAATCAATATTTAGGAATAAATCTAATGGAAAGCTATGTAAGATTTATATACCGAAAATGCAAAACACTGCTGAGAAAAAATAAAAGGCAACCTAAATAAAGACAAAAGCATGTTTACATTTTGAAAGACTCAGTGTTACCGAGATTTCAATTTTCCCCAAATTGTTCTATAGATTTAAGACACTCCCAAATAAACTCCCAAGAAGCTGTGTGTGTGTAAACTAACAAGCTGATTCTAAATGTTATATGGAAATGCAAAGGACCTACAATAGCCAAGATAATCTTGAAGAACTTTATACTACCAGGTATCAATACTTACCATATGACTGTAGTAATCGATCGTGGTATCGGTGCAAGCAAGGACTAACAGAACAATGAAATAGAGTCCAGAAACAGGCCATATATTTATAGTCAACTGGTTTACAATAATGATACTATTGCAAAAGATGGCTTTTCAATATGGTGATGGGCCAGCTGGGTTTCCCAGTAGGGGGGGATATTGATCTTTGATCTCTACCTTCACTAGATGTAAAAGTTAATTTGAAGTGGATCACAGACCCAAAGTGAAAGATAAAACAATAAAGCTTCTAGAAGAAAACATGGGGGAATATTCTTCATGACCTTGGGATAGAGAAGATTTCTTAAACAGGACACAAAAAAGCACTAGCTATAACAGAAAACACTGATAAAATGAACTTTAAGATTCATTAAGAACCTCTGTTCATTAAAAGACCATTAAGAGAGTGAAAAAGCAATCCACGGACTAAGAACAGTATATTTGGAATACTTATATCCGTATCTAGAATATAAAAAGAATTCCTACAAACCAACAAGAAAAAGATAAACAACCCAGTGATAAAAATGGGCAAAATATTTGAACATTCACATCACAAAAGAGGATATCCAATGGCCAGTAAGCTCAACCTCATTAGTCATCAGGAAAATTAAAGTTAAAACCACATCCAGTAGAATAGCTAGAGTTTAGAACACTGGTATAACCAAGTGTGGAAGGATGCAGAGCAACTGGAACTCTCATAGGTTAGTGATGGTACATGGTACAACCCACACTGGAGAATTGTTTGCAGCTGCACAAAGGCCCAGCAATTCCACTCCTAGGTAGGAGATGAACACACATGTCCACACACACAAAAAATACTTGCATAAAAATATTCACAGCAGCCTTACTCTGAACAGCCCCAAAGTGGAAAGGTGAACCCAAAGGGCCATTAATAAGAGAATGGATAAGCAATTTGTGGCACAGTCATACAGTGGAGTACTACCAAGCTATAAAGAAGAACAGTAGCACCTAGCAACAAGGATGAATCTCAAGAACACTAAAATGAGTGAAAGATGCCAGACACACAGACACTGCATACTATACGACTCCATTTCTATGAAGCACAAGAAGAGGCCAAATTAACTTATGGTGCAAGAAATCAGTGGATGCCTCTGTGTGGTGAAACGTGTGCAAGTGCAGGCCTGCACGTGTGTGTTTTCTGTATCTATTTTGGGCTGGGTGGTTACAGTCTATACAGTTCAATGTACAGAACTGTCAAGACCTATTGAACTCAACACTTAATATGAATTGTATTATATGTAAACTATAAGTCAATTAAAAAGAACAGTGGTTAAAACCCACAAACATTAAAAGAAAAGTGTTTAACTCTCAAAACTACAGAAATGGACAAAGTAATCCAAAGGATGAACAGAAGTCAGAGTGTGGCGGTAAAGACAGTTCGGGGCACGAGTGACCTCGCCTCTGCTCTGCCCGAGGGCCGTGAGCATGAGGGCCACAGTGAGGACGGTGACAGCGGCTGCCACGACCCTGGCGAGGCACCACGCTCACTCCTTTCATCCTTAAGTGGTCCTCTGTGGACAGCATAATGATCCCCATAAGATGATGAGGAAATGGAAGCACAAAGGTGTACCCCCAAGGTTGCACAGAAAGTAGATGAAGCTGGGACCTGAATCAAAGCAATGCTGAGGCCAAAGTCCACACACTTCCCTGTAACACCACTTTGCTCCCTGCCCTTGCAGCACGGGTGGGATCCGTTTCGTCTTTTCAGTGCAAGGGACACATGGAATATTTTCCGGTCCTCACGACAAACCCATGAGAGAAGTGAGGCACTGGATCTCCACTGTAACATCTGCAAAGTTTTCGCTGTTTATCTAGTAACAATCAGCTCCCCATTGCTTCCCAATTCATCTCTGAGTCAAAGAAAGTACATAGCTAGCAGTAATATTTGCCCCCACACTACATTTTTAAAACTCCTAGATCATTCAGGCCACATATCTACATAACCATTAAAAAATTATATTCCACTTAGAACTTAAATAATATTTGCTTATGAAAAGTCTTTCACATCCTCAAATGCAGCTCACTTGCTTCCCCACCAAAAGGTAAGCTTCCATGGCAAATTGCAACCCACAATGGAATATATCGTTGAGAACTTCCAAATGCATTACTCATACAATTACAACAGATAAACTGACATCTGCTGTTACAGTTTAGAAAATCAACTAGAGGACTTCCCTGGTGGCGCAGTGGTTAAGAATCTGCCTGCCAATGCAGGGGACATGGGTTCGATCCCTGGTCTGGGAAGATCCCACATGCCGCAAAGCAACTAAGCCCGTGCGCCACAACTACTGAGCCTGCGCTCTAGAGCCCGAGAGCCACAACTACTGAAGGCCCGGTGTGCCTAGAGCCCGTGCTCCACAACAAGAGAAGCCACTGCAATGAGAAGCCAGCACACTGCAATGAAGAGTAGCCCCCGCTCGCTGCAACCAGAGAAAAGCCCATGAAGAGCAGCGAAGACCCAATTCAGCCAAAAATAAATAAATAAATAGTTTGTTTTTTTTTTTTTAAAGAAAATCAACTAGAGAACAGACGGTAAAATGTATCTTTTTTTTTTCTTTATTCCCTGATTCCATCAAAAGGGTCAGAATGGAACCCACTGGCAAAGGAGTTGGGGGTGAGGGAGAAATGGACACAGACTGCTAGAGGGTCCCCTTCCCTCTCCTGAGCTGAAGGGGGGCAGTGACCCAGAGATAAGACTGGGGAGGGAGTGTCACACGTCTCCATGGGTTCAACACTCACAGAACCATGCTTTCTCCTCTTGTCTTTGTCACCTACCTTTGCTTGTTCGAGAGGCAGCAGTTCTGACATCTAGTGAGCTTTTTCTCCTGTCGTTATGTTTGCCTGACTGATTATCTGTGGAAACAATTAAATTATAAATTACCTCTGCAAAGGGATTTTAACGACATATTAGGAAACTTACCAATATAAAACTTTTAAAAAACAAAATTTAAGCATTAGAATACCATTTAGGATGCCACAAAAATCAACGGAGTGCAGAGATGAAGACTGTGAACAATTATGTTTTAAGGTAGGCTGACTTTCTCAAAATGTCCCACCTGGTACAGTCATAAAGTAGTGCTTTTCAGTTTCCAAATTATGTAATCACAGAGTCCCACGATGCGAAAACTAGCAGAAATGAACTCAAGAGAATTTCACCTATTATATTTCTATGTAATTGAATAAAGTGGTGGGAAAATTTTGATCTCCATCCACCCTTGCCCCAAAGGAAAAAAAAAAACTTTTTTTGTATTTTTTTTCTACAATACAAGCTCTAAAATGTCCCCGGGAAGAATGTGCCTCTCTTTGGGAGGGTAGTACAGGAGCACCAGTCCAGGGTGTACTTCTCTGCCCCCTCTTCCCGTGGATGGCTCCACTGCATTTCGAGGCCCAAACAGGGCTTGTCTTTGACACCTCTCTCCCTCACTCCACGCCAGTCAATGACAAGGCAAAGCTGGCCTTCCTTCCCGTGCCCTCCTCTGTGCACCTGCCGCGTGTCACATGTGGTGGCAAGCCTCTCCAACCTGTCCCCATTTCACAGACGACGAAACTGGGAGCCGCTGTGCAGACGAGTGAGCACACAGCTTGCGCTCGAGCTCAGCTCTCCGCACCTGCAGCTTCTTCTGTCTTCTCTGCCTTCTCCCGGCTTCCTCATCTGGATTCCTGATCACAAACAGGATCCAAAGGCAGGCTCTTGGTACTCCTCCCCACCATCCGGAACCTTCTCCACTTGCTATCTACCTTCTCTTCCATGTGGGCACTGGCAGTGACCTTGTCAAGGTCACTGATGACCTCCCTGTTGCTATATCTGAAGGACACCGTTCAGTTCTTACCTGACTTGTGGTACTAGACACAACTGATCATGCTTCCTGGAGACTCCTGGTTTGCACAAGTCCAACGCTGGCTTTCCTTGCATCTCTTATTGTTCCTTCCTAGTTTCCATCATGATTCATTCTCTCTCTCAGCACCCCTGGTATTCCCAAAGGTTCAGTCCTCTTAGCCCTCCCTCTCAGACAACGCAATCTCCTCAGGAGACCTCATCCTTTTCTACAGCTCTTCCTAATTCCTGTGTTGCTGTCTTAATCCCAGGCCTTTCTCCTGAGCTCCAGACTTACATCTTAACTGGCCACTCGTCACCTCCATCTGGACACCCTCAGGAGTTTCACAAGAGCTCACTACCCAAATGAACTCAGAATCTTCTCCTAAATCACTGCTTATCCCAGGCTGCTGAACGGCATCTACCTTTTTGCTTAAGTTGGAGACAAGTCATCCATGACTCCTCCTTGTTCCTTGCCCTCAAGTGGTCAGATAAATCTATGGATTCGACCTCCTAAATACCTCTTTAATCTACCCCTGTTCTGTCCCTGTCCTGGCTCAGACACCTGTCATCCACCTCTGGATTATAATGACAGCCTCCCCTCATTGGTCCTACCGGCCCCAACCTTGCCCCCTTCGACCCATTCTCCATAGGCAGCCAAGTGATCCTTCTGAAACAAAAATCTGATCAGATCACTCTCCCAATTAAAACATTTTAATGGTTCATCACTGTTTTTAGGATCAGATTTAAATTCCCCAGTGTGGCACCCAGAGTCCTGTGATATCTGGACCTCCTCTCTTCAGCCATCACGAACTACTTATGATGTGCTAGTTCACCTCCTAAACCTCTCTGCCTTGGTGCAAACTGCTTACCCCCACCTAGGAACGCACCCCTCCCTTGATGCCTCCTTCACCTGGTTAACTCTCGATCCTCTTTGAAGATGCAGGTAAGATGCGGCTCAGGTATCATCACCTCTGGGAAATCCTGCCCTAATGCCTCACCCCCAACATTGCTGGTAACCGCCTGCTTTACTGACTTGACTGACTTCCTCACCAGCTGTGAATGACACGAGGGCACTCAACAAACATTTACTAGGCACCTACCACGTGTCAGGCTCCAAGCCAGGCGCTAGGGGTGTGAGGATGAATATGGTAGGGTCCATGCCCTCAAAGGGGGTAGTCCGGAGGGGAGCAAACGCAGGTGAACTAAGAGTGACAGTCGTGATGCTGGGGAGCAAAAGGAGCCCCAGGAGGAAGGGGCAGGTCTCCTCTGGGAGGGGGGCAGAGAGGAGATGAGCCATGTTTTGCAGCTGGAGGCCGGCAGAGGAGGAAGGCACTTCCTGGAGGAGGACGCTGCCTGCGCAGACGGGCAGAGTTGGCTGGAGGGGAGCAAGGAGCAACGTGTCCCAAGGCCAGGGCTGTGGCAGGTGTGGAGGGAGGCAAAGCAAGCTTGAACTTCTACTCAGCGTTTAAGTGACTCCCCTAAGGCGAGACCAGACCTTCCTGTGACTGCCGTGTTCAGCCTGCTTCTCTTCCTCTGTCTGAGTCCCTGCAGAGCTCTGCAGCTGGTTCTTAAGGCACCTCCACCTGCCGGGCTGCTGCTCCTGCAGGGAGGGCGGGCCGAGGGGCTCACGGCAGGGTGACCTTGACCTCTCAACCAGCCCGCAGCCTGAAGGAGCCCGCGCACAGGCCCTCCTGCCTCCAGAGGGCTCCACACCCTCGACTGACCCGAGACCGGAGGCAGCCGCGCGCCGCAGGAGGGAACGCTCAACAGGCCTCGGCCGCAGAGCTGGGCTCGGGCTTCACGTGTCTGCGGGCTTCACCGCCCGCGACTTCACGTGTCTGCGCTCAGCTTCCTGTTCCAGAAAATTGCGATCCTTCGCACTGCCCATCTTTTTAGGAGAGGAAGGTTATCAGGGTTTCCTTGGCCTGCTGGGAAAATCCAGGAGACCCTGGAGAAGCCGTGAGGGGCAGGAACCATCCTGCAGCCCCCCGAACGGGCAGCCTCCATCCCAACACCAACACCGTGGTCCCCCGGGAGGAGGAAGCTGAGAACAAGGTTTCTTGCATGACTTGCCCCAAAGTCACTCTGCTGGGAACAGACTTTCAGAGAACTTTCTCAGACACTCTCAACCGTCCAAGCCTTTGAGGAGGGCCTGCCCTGTACCGGGACACCCCCTCCCCCCGCCTCGGGGTCTCACCGACCCCACACTGCCAAGCCTCCAGCCGCTGCCCAACCGCGGGCTCCCTGCGGCCTCGCACACGGGGAGCTCCCTCCTCCTGCGCCCGAGAAAGCTCACTTTCTCCAGGTCCAGAGTAACACTCCTTTCAGGTCTGCCCAGCCCCCGCCCTGGCAGCGCAGGAGAACACCTGTAAAATACACTGAAGCCCTGCTCCGCACCACCTGACCCAGAACCTGGCACGTTGCTGGCAAGGCCCTTCCGGACCCCCTCCTCCTCCCCTGTGCTACCCATCCCCCTGCTAAGAAGCACAGAAAGCAGGCTTCGCCAAGCAGAGACAGTCACTTGACCTGGCACGTGGTGCCCATGCACTGTTTTGGATGAATTATGCCCTGGCGTGTTTTCTCTCCTCTACACGATGGCAATGCTGGTATTCTCGTCCCTGGTCCCTCCTTCCATGTAATCTGTTACATACAGGCTCTAAAAGCTTAGAGCTCAGGCGTCATTATACTATTCCCTTGCTCAAAAATCCTCCACCTCCCACTGCCTACTGATGAAACTCCTGATTTCCCACCTAGCATCTAAGGATCCTTCACGATCCCAACTCCCTTCCACACTGACCTTTTTTATACCAGTCAGAATTTTAACCCTGCTCTTGCTCTTTCTAGAACACACTCTGTACTTTCCCTGTTCAGTAACTGTATGTATTTCTGGAATGCTGTTCCTCTCACACCCATCTTCGTACTCAAATCCACCTCTCCCTGTCTGGAACGTCCCCCTCCCTCTTCCTCTGCCTTTCTCACCCACTAACGATCACTTCTTATCACTTGCTATGTGTCCCTTCGTGTCAATACGTCTCTCCTCTTTTCAGATTAAAGCCTGATTACTCTTGGGGCGGCCACAAGAACTGTTCCAGCGTGTGCTTCAGAGCTTCTGCAGTTGGCCATCTGGATTTGAGTGCCAACTCTACCACTTCCTAGATGGATATCCCTGGGCAAATTAGGTAGCCTGTCAGTTTCCTTATCTGTAAAAAGGGAACTTCATCTATTAAGCGTCTACCCCTCTGGGTTATTGCAAGGTTTCAACTAAACACACCATAAGTTAAGCACTCAGCACAGTGCCTTGTACACAACAAACACTCAGAAAAACATGTGGGAAACATTCCTAGAATGTGAGTGAACTGTGCCGGGACTGCTGAAAGCACATCATCAACAGCTGAAGGTATGGAAGACAAAGTCTTCTCCTTGGAGGCTCTTACAGACTAGCTGGGCAACCAGAGCACTGCCTGGGCATGGCAGGGTGCTGTAAAGCGTCCACACAGGCTGGATGGAGAGCCTCTGGCATGGAGCCGGAGAGCACCTGCACCATTACAGGTAACGGCCAGAGTAGGAAAGTGGCTTGCTGAAGCCATGATATACGCTGGAAGGAAACAGGTGATTCCGGGCCAGGGAAAAACATCTGCAGTCACGTAGACATGGGGTGAGCGGATGGTGTCCAAAGCACATCAAGTCCTCACGAGATGGATATGACGTGAGGCAGGTCTGATAGGGTCCACCTACCTCCCCGTAGGCTGGTAGTGAAAGCATCCCTGCTAAAGCACTGTAGTCTGAAACCAACACAGTTGCCTCTTCGAGCACAGATCATGCCAACAAACCACACTCCACTCAACACATCTTCACATAAGTTCATGCATTGGAGGTGACCAGTTCTCTCCCCACAGGCTGAGACCCACCCCAGGACACCTGTCAGATCGCCCACCTGTGCTAGGGTCCTCTGACTCATAAATCAGCCTGGGAGTCAGGGAGAGAAATGCTGCCATGGTGCTAGGCAAATACAGTCCCACCTACGCAACAGACAAGCTCGTCAGAGGCAGGGCCCGTTTTTATTTTTTTATTTTTTCAAAAGCTCAGTGAACCCTAAGAATGAATATGGGGCACCATACCTGTATGAGTGTCAGACTGAACACATTCAGCTATTTTCGTAGCCTAAAAATGAATTTTAGAAGCCATTAGTTTTGAGTGCCTAGTTATACAGTAAGGGAAATCTGGCTGGGTCCCTGGGGTCCCAAGGGCTCTCCTTACATACCTTATTGTTGCCATTGCACGCTCTGACAATGGACACATAGTGTCTAATTTTTCTGCAAGTAGAAAACAATGTATTATTTCTCTCCTGGCTCTCTATTCTGGTGGGTATCTAGCTAACTTTTCATTATGAAAGGAGCATCTCTCTTTCACAATACATACAATGCTTGCTTGGAGGAAAGCAGTTCTATTTGTGTGTGGCCAAGGCCACCAATAAACAAACAAGAGTCTACAAGCATTCTCTGGTGTCTGTGTAGAAGAGAAGTTGACTCTTCAGTACAAACAACAAAATCCTTCTGAGTCATCACAACACACAATAAAAAATACCTAGGTTTTAAAAATGTACTGCATGTTAACCAACCCAAAGCCTCTAATTCCTTAACATGCTTTCACGGTTTCACAGCCCTTTTCTATTGATGCTCTTCTTCAAGTTTCAGCAAACAATCTGCTCACAGTCATTCATGGAAACAGCCACAGGCCACACTGGGCCGAATGTGCGAGTCTAGAACAAAGCAACCGGGGCTTATCACAGAAGATGCTGACTCTCCTCACTTATTTTCGATTTTTCAGCTTTTCCCCTTGATAATCCAATCCCTACAGTTATCCCCCCCGCAAATTTGGAAAGGCCATAAAAAGGCAGAGAATCAGAACAGAGAGCCCACACAGAGCCGTCTCCCTGAGGCAATCGCCAGCTGGCAGCAGAGCCTGGTGACCAAGCACGTGAGCCACGCGGTCAACGCAGAGGCCTGCAGCCCGGCTCCGCTGAGCGCTGGCCGCTGGCGGCTGGCGGCCGGACTCTGGGCCAAGCCTCAGGCTCCTCATCTGTCAAACAGAGACTGTCACAGTGCCGACATCACGGGGCTGTGGCCAGGACGAAATGAAGTGACACCTACCAGGCACTGAGAGCCTGCCCAGGGAGGGAAGGGCTCATGGACAGCGGCAGTTGTTACAACCATCATTGCTCCACCTCCTCCTGGTCTTTTTGTCCTTCTTTCATTTTCGCGACTGAGAGCATACACTAGGTATGATTTTACATTTTGACTTTTGCATTTATCAAAAACATTTTCCCCTATACTTCAATTTTCTATGATCAGCATTTCTAATGGTTGCGTATTTTATCGTTGGGTATTCTACAGTTCACATTCATAATTTTCCACTGTTCGTATTATTTAAGATAGATTCTGAGACAAACCATATGACATTTTCAGGCTCCTGATATACACTGCCTTCCAATCTGTGGTCACATCTGCTTCATATGCGTTTCCATAAATGAGAGTATTTAAAATACTTTTATCTAATTTGATAGTTATGTGCAGAAATAACACATAGGCTATCAAATTAGATAAAATCTTTTAAACATAGGGAGTCCACCAGTGAGTGTTCTTAGCACACAGCTCAGTAAAGTGGCATTCAGGTTTAAATACTTCAGTCTTTTATGTGCTCACACAGCTTAAGACTGTCGGAGTATGGCGACTCTGGGTCACCACCAGCCGGAGGGTCAGGCTGTGACCATGAGGAAGCCACCCTGGAAGGCCATTCTTTGATGGTACCTGACCTTGTTACAAGTCTTTCTTATAAATTTCTGCATGCAGTTCTCAACTTACTTAAGTATTCAAAGCAAATTCTGCAATAAGCCGAACATGGTATGTTGACTGAAGCACTCGTTTTCTCCACTTACCCTCCCTGTCCAATGACAGGTAGTATCTTCACATTTTGTTGTACATTATCTCCATTTTTCTCTTTGGCAGAGCAAATTCCTTGCCATTCCTATAAGTGGAATGTAGGCATCATTATACATTGTGTTCAAAACATACACCCAAGAGCATTTTCCACCTCAGGTTTCCACACCTTTACCATGGCCACTAAAGCTATTAGGATAATAAAAGCATCCCAACCCCAAAGGCAATTTTGGGTAATCTGACAATTCTTTCTCAACCTCCCAAGTCCATCTCCTCCCTAGACTGACAACAAAAGCCAGGTCACCACAGTCTAAATGGTCATATGTTTTCAGTGGCTTTCTGGTGGCAAGCGAGGCCCTGGGCCCATGAATGAGGAACACTCTTCTTGTCCAGGTTCCTCCTCTCACAACTCCTACCTGCCGCAGTGGAGGGGGGAAGTGTGGCCTCTGCCCCTGCATTTGGGACGGGAAGAGTCTCAGACTGGGGCAGAGAAGGGGCCACCCTCTGTGTTGAGTACCCTCTGCAGGTAGGGTGGGGATAATGAGGTAACAGCCAGGACTGGGCTCAGGCAGAATAACCAAGTGAGACCTTAAAAGCCAGAGCTGCCATTTCAGAATGGAACTGCAATGGGAGAGCAGGTATGCCCAGGCTATGACCACAGTGAGCAAACAGGGGCTACAGGTGGCTCCCCTACTCTGAGGGTGGTGGAGAGAAGCGTGGGACGGAGCTGGGTTTTGTGACCACCTAAAACATTCTGAATTTCTCCAAGAGTCACCAAGATCCTTAAGCTAGAAAAATCCCTAAAACCCACTGTAGGACCTTGAACTCCCAGGGTGTTTCATACCCTTCTAGACCTTCCAGAGTCTCACAGGAGCTAAAGCTGACCCAGGTGGGAAGGGGAACACCATGGCAGCCTGGCTCAAGTCTCCTGTCCATACTCTTACACAAAGTCAATTCTGAAATCTATGCTTGGGGCGTGGTGGCCTGCATGCAAATGCTAATGGTAAAATCTCATCTTCAGACTCCTCTGGGAAAGTGGATCCAAGAGAAACCAGGACATTGACAGAAGCAAAGGATGGTTACTGAGGCTTCCTGACGTCCTTCTGAAAACAATGGGCGCCAAGAAAGGACTAAATTAAAAAACAGCCCAAGAGCCCAGCTAGGTGCTTACTTGCCCTAGAGCAGAAGGGAGGTGTGGGCCTTCCTCACTACAGTTCTGAGGGGAGAGTGGCCTGTGCCCAAATTGGGCAAGGACTAGACAGGGATCCCTGGGCAGGAATCTGGAGCCTGTCCTCCACGCCCACAGCCCCATGCAGCCACCAGAGAAGGCTTTAGCAGACAGGTCTAAGAGTTACTTCTGAAGTTCACTATCAAGAGAAATATGGGAAGCTGACTGAGGTGATATTTGCAAAACTCTGAACATACCAACCACCACTGAACTGTACACTTTAAATGGATGGAGTGTATGGCATGTGAATTATCTCTCAACAGAGCTGTTATATAAAAAGAGAGGGAAAATATGGGAGACCGATTCAGTCAATCAATCAGCACTTCAAAACACATATTCAGGATTTTCTCCTCCAATCCTTTCTGAACAGAGTGGGTGGCTGCCAGATCCCAAGTCAAGGTGTAAGAAGCCATGTCAGCCAGAGCTGGACAGTCCAGCTAACGGAGGACAACTTAGCCAATGACTTTGCTTAGATAACTGAGTTGCCTGTAAGTTTTCCAGTTAACAATGGAAACAAAAAATATTCACTTAACACAGATCATATTTCTTATCAAAAATACATCAAAAATCGACGTTTCAGTTCCTAAAAATAGTAAAGTCCTACCTAGAATGCTGTTATGAAGATTAAATCTGGTAACACACATAAACTCTTAGCCAAGTCCTGACACACAGCAAATGTCCAGTAAGTGGCCTGTTTGGTTTTGCACAGGTGTCTGTTTGTCTCTCTCGGGCTGAGCTCCTCTCAGAACTACACTAAGGCGTGCACCTCCCTTCTACTCCGGGGCAAGCTCAGCACCGAGCTGGACTTCGCTGACTACTGAGACAGTTCCTTCTTGGTGTGTGCCCACTGGCTTAAGAATTAAATCATCAACATCCAGCTGTCCTATCCCAGGGGCTAGCACTGTGCTGGCAGGTGGTAAACAGCCAAAGAACACTTGGGGCTTTTGTTTACTGAATGGAAAAATGAGGCCAAAGTCAGATCACAGAATCCTGGCACCCAGGATAAGGGACTTGAGCTCTACACAGAGGGAGTGACATGATCAAAGTGGTGATCTGGTGAGACAAATCTCCAGTAGTGTAGGGTGGACTGGCCAGAAGTGGAGGGTCCTGGGACAGGGAGGCCTAACTGCATTCAGCCACCGCAGTCTCAGGGTGTGGGAAGAGGGCCCTGAACACGGTCAGGCCCAGGCAGTGGACCCTCAAAGCCAGGGGTTTAACAGACATCAAGCCTTGGTGATGGATTTGATGGAGGGGGCTAAAGGGTAGGGAGAAACCAAAACCATTCCAGGAATGAAAGTCCAGGCAACTGTGTGGATGGTCAACGAGCAGTAGACAGAAGAGGTGGAGGGGGAGCAGGCTTTTTGTTAATGGGGGGATGAGAGAAAATCACCGCTTTACAAGGTGATACCAAAATGACAGCAGGATGTTGAAACAGACCTTGGAAAAGACACTGAAGCTACAACTGGGAAGGTGGGAGACATCTACGCAGAGCAGGAAAGATGCTCAACAACAAAGGGAGCTTTCTGAGGAACCAGCAGGGGACAAAGAGCCCTGGTAAACCTGGGAGGAAAGAGATGGGGGAAAAGTGGGAGAAGCAGGGAGGCGGCGAGGGAGGAAAGCCCCTGGCTTCCCAGGAGCTGGGGAAGGTAAAAGGTGTGAAGAGCTGAAGGGCTCTGCGACTGCACATCATTATCAGAGGCAGCCAGCCGAGCAGCCAACATTCCTTCAGCACCTGCAAGACAGTTTCTGAGGGGAAAAAAATGCAAAATTTCTAAAAGCGAAGAGGCAATATAAGGCTCAGGTATCTGAGAAGATAGGAGGCCAGGGGTTCTAGGGCCCTGACAGAGAAGACCTGGGGAAGAAGAAACAGGAGCAGAGCCAAGAAGGACACATAAAGGGAGGAAGGAAGCAGGAGTGTGGGACTGAAAGTCAAGGTGCCTAATAGTATCAGTTTTACCTGAAAGGGGAGCCAGTGGCTGAGAACAGCAGGCAGAGGAGGTTTATAGAGAGTGGTGTTCGCAGTATTCTCTGTTTGAACATCATCAGAATTCCTCCTCTGCCCCCAAGAATATCCAACTGGTTGGACACCTAGAATCTGACACTCCAAAGCCCCTCCCGGTCATCTGACCACTTCCAAAGGCTCCACCCTGGTTCCCAGCACATGTCTGAACTCTCTCCACTGACCATGGTGCCACTGTTTGCCAAGGGCTGTGGCTGATTCTCAACAAGCCCTTCTTCTCCCGAGGGAGACTTGATTAGAAAGGCCATATATCTTTCTCCTCAAAAAACTGCCCAGCTAAGTGGTCTGTCCTGCTGCAGTGTTGCCTGTGAACCAGCAGGGTACCAACAAGGGACAAACGGCAGTTTCTGCACTCTCCCCAAGAACTTGCAATCATGCAAAACAAATGCCCTGGTTCCTTTTCTTTTTTTTTAAACATCTTTATTGGAGTATAATTGCTTTACAAGGGTGTGTTAGTTCCTGCTGTATAACAAAGTGAATCAGCTATACATATACAATCACCACCTGGTTTCTTTTGGAAATAAAGCAGTATAGAGGTTGACAATGCAATAACCTTTCGTATTCTCTGCTCATAGCAAATACAGACTTTAGAGAGCAGGTCCTGCTGTTGAGGCCCTTTGCGCCTGGTGCCCAACGGCATACCTCAGGAGGCAAGACGCCGCTCACAGGGATCTGGGTGAATCCCGGGGCCTACAGCTAATCCACTGGGTGCCCCCACCCCCATCTCAACTTGCTCTCCTCACTGCAAGGGCAGCTGCCAGATCAAGGAGCATGAGAGCCACCATCTGTTTCACACCCTGCTGAACCTCACAGCAGAACTGCTCGCTGACCCAGTGGCAGCACTGGACCAAACCGCCAGGACTGGGGAGGCCATGGTAAAGCGCCTCAAAGGCTGCGGGGGTCTGGAATGGCTGCTGTTCTGGAGCTGCCTTCCGAGGACGCCCCTCTCGGCCCAGGGAGGGAACACTGGTGGGCCTGAACACCTAAGGGTCTGTCTCTTCATTCATCTCAGCCTTCGTTTCTCTATCCAGAGGACCTGCCACTCTCTCTAGTAAGAAAATCATCATCCTCGACAGAAAGGCTGAAGGCAAAATAGGATTCAAGCAGTTGTGCCCATTTTTGTGATTCCCCTGAGAGTGCATTAGCGGGCCCCGCCGCTGGCCTGTTCTTTCCCTGTTCTCACTGCAAAGCCACCTCGTGTGCTCAGAGCCGCGGGAAAGCAAAGGACACCAGCCCACTCACGGTGTCTTCGAGGGGCCCAAGCCAAGTGGGGGTATAAGCTTTATAGCCCTTCTGCCCCCTCTGGCAGACTGCCCTTGTGTGCTAAGGGACAGGCACGGGCCAAATGCCACAGAGAAAGGGCATCACTTCCACAGGGCCTCCAGATAGCCAGCAAGAGAGCAGGTCACCAATTTTTCAAATGTTCTGAATAATCAGATTCACAGTCCCAACTTCTAAAAGTTAAAAAGAGCCCAGCAGAAAAGCCTAAGAATGACTATGGAAAGCAGTAGCCTTTTCCTCATCATATTTTAAAACCTAATATAACAGTGAGGTGCTGTCAGAAGCCACAGTTCAGAGAGAGAAATAACCTTTCAGACTGAGCCTGCCTTGCTTTGTCTACCCCTTCAGCACCAGGGTGCTGTAACTTCTCACATCACAATGCAATGACTACTTTTATCTGTCTGTTTTGCACCCTGGAATGAGTTCTCTAAGGGATTTTTGTTTTGCCCTTCTTTCTATACCAGAACCTAGCACACCTGGCATTCAAAAAATGCTGAATGAATGAACGAGGCTCAGAGAACTGATGGGCTCCAATGTGTTCTGAGAATGTGTTAACTCACTGGCAATCCTTTACCCAGACCATTTGCCAACAGCTACCACTTAGAAGATCAATTATTAGAAAGATCAACTTACTTATTACAAAAATGAAAACAATGATGTTAAGTGTCAAAGTTACTCTTATTGGCTGGTCAGGTTTTATATACTTTCTTGGCCTCAATTTCCTCATCTGCAAAATGGGCATAAGAGAGATAACACTACCTACACTTCCCCAGGCTTCTGGGAAGAATGAGACTGAGATCACCTGACTCTAGCAGCAGTGCTCAGTGAGCGCTAGGTCTCCTTCCTTCCTTCTTTGTTATGTGAGAGTAACAAGGGTAGTGACCTCTTACTTACCTTGCCTATCCTGATGCATGAATTTATAGTATCGAGCAAATCAGCCTTTTTTTCATTTACAGGCACTTCTGCTAAATCCTTCCCTATTAATTCACCTGACTCATAGCCCATTGTTGTTTCAAATGCTGGATTTGCATACTGGGGGGAGACAAAGGAAAAAACATCATGTGAATTAAAAGAAATTTTGAAAAGTGGACAATCAAAGATGTTCAACCTAAACCATCATATTTTTCCCCCAGAAAGCCCAGAAGCCTGGCACTCACTACGACTGTTCTAAAGCCACAAGAGCACAGCCCCAGAAAAACCTTGGAGTCTGGAGAAGCCTCTGCTCTGACACCAGGCTGGGCTTACTGCCTTGTTCTCCTGAGGCTGCAGGGAGGGCAGCAGGCCCACTCCATTTAAACACCAGCAGAGGAAAGAAGCTGCATGGAGACAGACCCAGGGCTGCTACAAAAGGGCTGTTGAGATTATGATACATTGGAAGAAAGCACCAGACTGGGAGTCTGAAAACCCAGGGTCTACTCCCACAAGTCAGTTAACCTCTCCAAGTCTCAGTCTGCACATCTGTTTAATGGGAATGAAACACCTATTTCGCCTCTCTCATATGATGCAAATGAATAATGAGTTTGGAAAGCAGGCTATGAACTAGGAAGTGTTTACAAATTCAAGGCTTTATGGTTAAATTTCAAATAGGGCTGTAAGACTAGAAGAAAATGTATGGGAAAGCTGTGCATGTGCTGATAGGAATAACAAATAATGACGATGACAAAACAATAATCATACTGTTTAAGGTTTGTTTTCCTTGCTAGGCACTGTAGTAAAAGCACTTCACACACAGTAACTCATTTAATCCTCAGAACATCCTTACAAAAGGTAAGTCGTTGTTAGCGTTAATATTATTCCCATTTGTACAGATGAGACAGCAAATTCAGACAGATTAAGTCACCTGCCTGAAGATGCCCAGCTAGGAAGGGGCCGAGGCTGATTGGAAGCCAGGCCTGACTGATACCAAGCCTGTGCCCTCAACCACCGGCCAATGTTGCCTGTCAGGGCACCATCCTGAATGCTAACATCATCAACTCTTTACCAAGAAAGTCACTAGTTCGATTAAAGTGAAGAACTGGAGTGCTCAGAACTAAAATCAAAGTGGGGCTCATTCTCAGACAAAAGGCACATTCCTCTGGCACAACTCCCTCTTTTGCTGTTATATGAAAATACATGTTACCTGTCTGCTGTTATCTGAAAGCCATGTTATCTTCAGTCACTTATATGAAGCCACTTTTCTAATAATGGATAATTTGTGAAGTAATTGCTAGTTTATTTTTGAAATTTTGAGTAGCTTCTAGTAAATTTCTATAGGTGTAAACTATCTTCAAAAACAGTAAGAAAGGTGAGAGCGTGCAGCCCTTATGGGCAGAGCCTCTCCTTGCTGCCAACAGTCTCTCTCTACCCCACTCTGCTGCAGAAACAATCCTCTGGATAAAAGTCCCTCCTTGCTAAGTAAATAAATATGCAAAAAAGTGAGAAATAATAAATGCTAATGCCATATTTCTACAGAATATTTTCTAGCACATTAAGCAATTATTGGAACATTTTCTTACCTATAGAGAACTTATTTTAAATTATATATTTTATAGATTTTGTTCTGATAATCCTCTAAGGAAAAACTGGTCCCTTGAACTTCAAAGAGAGGGAAAAGAAAACAACAACATACTGAAGGGGTTCAATCTTAAAAATGCAAACAAACCAGAAATTCAGCAGGACAAGCTTCCAAAACAACAAACCTGTACAATGTGGTCTTCACTTGTAATTTCAATTGCTTCTTGACTTTTCTCTAATGCAGTGAACATTGAGTTACAAGCCCTTTATGGGTAGAAGAGAAAAAGGACTGCTTAATGTAAATATTATAAAATGTAATACCATCTTGGAATATTACATTAACTTATTTAAATGTGTTCTTTGATTATAAAGGTAACTAATGCTAACTCAAGAAAAAGTAGGGGGACATATTAAAAAGCATAAGGAAGAAATAAGCGCCTCCTGCCACCTCAGTACTTGGGATCATGACTATGCACAATTTGGTGCCTTTCCTTCACTCTAAGGACAAGTGGACCAGGTGGAACACATCCCAGGGTCAGATCACAGCCCTTCGCTGGCTGTGGGACATGACTGAACCTCCCTGGGTCTCTGCCTTCTCACCATCTGAAGGGTCCTCGTGAGGACTCAATGAGAAAATGGAGTCAAGAAGCCCACACGAAGCCGGGTAGAAAGGAGGCGGCCCATCATCTGTAGCTATTATCACTTTCAACAAATCCTTTGCTCAAAACTGGGATCATCGGGATCATGAGCTTTGTTTTCTGCTTCCACTTAGCCTTACATTGTGAGCATTCTCCCTTGTCCTCAGTGTTTGAAAACATTTTTAAATTGCACAGGTAACTAAAGGTTTATTTTTAAAAAATTAGAAAATAATAATAAATGAGATACTACATCATACCCACTAGGATATCTACAATCAAAAACAGAGATAAAACCAAGTGTTGGTGAGGAACCCTCATACACTGCTGGTGGGAGTGTAAAATGGTGCAGCTAGCTGCTTTGGAAAACAGTCTGGCAGTTCCTCAGGCTGTTAAACATAGAGTTACCATATGGCCTAGCAATTTTACTCCTAGGTAGATATCCTACAGAAATAAAAACATACATCCACACAAAAACTTATAGCCCACAGGTGAAAACAACCCTAAAGTCCATCAATGATGAATGGATGAATAAAATGTGGTATATCCATACAATGGAATACTATGCAGATATGAAAAGAAATAAAGCCCTGATGCATGCCAAAATATGGATGAACCTTGAAAAACATTACGCTAAGTTAAAAGGACCACATATTGTATGATTCTATTTAAATGAAATGTCCAGAAGAGACAAATCTATGTATAGAGAGAAATTAGATTAGTGGTTATCTAGGGCTGGGGGTAATGAAAATGTTCTAAAATTGTGGCAGTGGTTGCACAACTCTGTGAATACATTAAAAGCCACTGAACTGTGTACTTTAAATAGGTGAATTGTATAGAATGTCAATTTTATCTCGATAAATCTGTTTAAAAATAAGTGAGATTAAATCGTCTGAAATCCCAACACCTACGCATATCAACTGGTGTTCTAGGCAATTTCTTGTGTAAATATACATGTAATACATATACTTATAAAAATAGGATCATACTTGACAGTTTTATCATCTGCTTGTACCAATGAACCATATACATTAATATCTTTCCATATCAATAATTAGTTCCTTATCATCACTCTTAATAACTATATAATATTCTATTGTAAAATTATACCATAATTTAGTCAAACAAATTCCCCATGACTGGGGAATGCTTTCAGTTTTTTTCTTGTATATGCCTCAGAAGACGAAAAAGAGAAAGCAACTGTCACTTGTTCATAAAGTGCAGAGATTACATTTATAAAACCAATAATTACAATGCTTTTACTTTATTCCTGGTATTACTAAACTGTCTAGCTAAATAAGACAAAGCAGCTTTAGCCAATAAAAATTAGCTCTTCTTTCTTGGCATATAAAACTCAAGTGAATTACCTCAATAAAGCTGTTATTTAAAAAAAAACAAGAACCAAAAAACAACGAGAAGTAAGTTCCCACCTCTGATATAACAAGCTTGGAGGAGATGGATCTGTGAGAAGCCCTACTGGGTTTTATCACTCTTTTTTAATTTTTGCAGATCTGGTAAATATAAAATGGTATATCATTTTCATTTCTTTGGTTACTAGTGAAGCTGAACATTTTTTTCATGTTTATTGGCCATTAATATCTCCTACAAACTGCTTGTTCACAACATGTCCTTTTAAATTTTTTCTACTGCGTGTTTCCATTTTTAAACTGATTCATCAAAGCTCTTTACGTATTCAGGATATTAACCTATCTGTCCTGTGTGTTAAGAATGTATTTTTCCCAGTTTGTTATTTGTCTAAATTTTTAACATTATTTAAGGTATACTTACTGAGACAAGCTTAACATTTTTATGTTGTCTAATCTGATTCTCTTCCTTTGTAAAATCTGGCTTTCACCCCATGCTGAGTTTAAAAAGACTTCATTATCCAAATACATATGCTCACTTACATTTTTGGTACTTATGTGGCCACACTTCTTAACATTATGCACACTGGAATTTATTTTGGGACTGAGTGTGAGATCGGGATATAACTTTATTTTCTTTCCAGTTAATAAGTTGTCACAATTCTATTCATTGAAAAGTCCACCCCTTCCTGTGTGGATTTAAATTGCCACGTTGAACACATATACTTATGTTCCTAATTCTTAAATACAAGCACGTCTATTTCTAGACTTTACATTCTAGTTTACTGATCTAGCAGTAACACAAAGATGCTTGTTATAGCTTTTTAGTGCATTTTAATATCTCTCAGAACAAGTCTTTCTCTATTGCTCCCAACTCTCTAGCCCCACATTTCCCCCTTCCCTTCATTATCAATATTTTCATATCTCCCTTCATAGTGGACATCTCCCTTTGGCTGTCACCTGGCACACAGAAAACAAAGTAGAGCATGAGGAGAGACAATGAGTGCAGTTTTGAAAATGGGGGTTACAACCTAAAGGACTACCTTTGCCATGTGCTGCATGCGAGATCTTGGATGTAAGTCAGTTAACCTCCCTGGGTCTCGGTTTTTGCATCGTGATTCATGATTTGATGAAATAAGCTCTAACATCACCTCCTGCTCCACAGTTCCGCTCTCCTCTCAGAGAGGGCAGCAGTCCAGCTCACTGTGGAAGTGCTGCAGCCAGGCTGTGGAAGACCCAGGAATGAGAAGGAGGCAGGCCCAAGGCCAACCATCCATCTCAAGTTTCCCTGAAAACTCTGGCAATAAAAAGGAGCTCTTTTGTAGACCTCACTGGCCCTGAAACATCTCTGCTCAGCAGCACTTCTTTGCCACCTCACACTTCATTTCATTTTTGTCTATGAAGTATTTTCTTCTCTGCATGTGATACCCCGTGCTGGTCCTTACCAACGTTAATACCCCAACTTCTAATCGCCTTATCTCTGCCTTGGGCACATACAAACAGAATGATTTCATTCTCTCTTTGATCCTGGTAAAGGAAATGTTAAAGAATAGTAGACCACCCAAGGAAGAGACCTAGGATGATACAGAGATACTGACATTTTTTTCACTTCTGTCAACCTCATATAATTTTACTAATTTTTCTGCTTTTCTCACTCTACAAAGAACTAGGTTTCCACTCATCAGTTAAAAAAAAAAAAAACTGTTGAGCAAGAGCAAATTACAAAATGCTTACTGTAGAGAAGAAAACATGTCACCTACCAGAGATGATAATGTTAACGGGTTGGGTGTATGTGTATATTAAAAGTAATTTTTTAATTAAAAAACGAAACAGATAATTCAGTATATATACTTCTGCATACTGCTTTTTCATTTGCTATTATTTTGGTGCCCCATCTTTTTTTTTCTTTTTCTGGCCACACCATGTGGCTTGTGTTATCCTCCCCGACCAGGGATCAAACCCAGGGCCCCGGCAGTGACAGTGCCAAGTTTTAACCACTGGACCGCCAGGGAAGTCCCCACTGGAGCCCCATCTTTAAATGCTGAGTCTCCAATCACTAACATGACCACCTATTAGACATCCAGGCAGACTCTGAAAGCATTCTGTGAGGAGAGATGCCTTCCCACCACCCCATCCCATTTTAGCAGGAGGTCAGTTACAGCCAAGATATAGCTGCCCACAATCGAAGTCCTCACTTGCAACAATGCTCTGTGTGGTATGGTCGACTTACCAGAAGCAGCAGAATTACCTGAGTTTCAGCTGTGGGCGCACCAATCCAAACTCCATCTGGAGCAGTTCATTGTAACAGGCCATAGCGCTGGGGTTTTCTACATACCTCTACAAACAGAAAGGGGGTTTTGTGGATAAACAAATGTGCACCTTTAAATGATTAAATACATATATAAAAAATAATTCTTTCCAACAGGCTTCTCAACTTGGTACCGGAAATCTAAAAAATAATTTACCTTTCATGATGAACAGGAAATGAGAGATGAAAACTTATGGGTACCAAATTAGCTTTTAAAAAATAGTACTTGCACATATCTGAGAATATATTAAGAAACCACTGAGTTGTACACTTTAAGTGGCTGAATCGATCAACTATACCTCAATAAAGAGAAAAAAAGGCAGAAAGAAGAAAGGAAGTGGGGAGAGAGAGAGGCAAGAAGGAAGGAAAAGAAAGGCAGAAAGGGCAAGGTATTTGCTGGAAAGAAAAAAATAAAATAATTTTTAAAATAAATTAATTTAAAAAACTATAGTATACTATAGTATAACCATTTAATGGAACAGCATGCAGCTATTACATGCACTTATATGGAATGATGTATGAGACACACTGTCAAGTAAAATGAGGAAATGGAAAATTGCATTATAATTATTTTACATTTTTATAAAAATATTACATCAAGTTTAAATAAATAAATAGCTGAATTACATGGTATATGAATAGTATCTCAATAAAGTAGTAAATAAATGGAATTACAAAAAATAGGCCTCCATTCCTGGGCATATATCCAGAGAAAACTATAATTCAAATAGATACATGCACCCCAACGTTCATAGCAGTGCTATTTACAATAGTCAAGACATGGAAGCAACCTCCTAATAGTCCATTGACAGAGGAATGCATAAAGAAGATGTGGTGTGTGTGTGCGTGTGTGTTTATATATGTACAGTATGTACAATGGAATATTACTCAGCCATAAAAAAGAATGAAATAATGCCATTTGCAGCAACATGAATGGACCCAGAGATTATCATACCAAGTGAAGTAAGTCAGACAGAGAAAGGCAAATATCATATGATATCACCTATATGTGGGAATCTAAAAAAAAAACTACAAATGAACTTATTTACAAAACAGAAATAGACTGACAGACATAGAAAACACACTTATGGTTACCAATGGGGAAAAGATGGGGAGAGGGATAAATTAGGAGTTTGGGATTAACAGATAGACACTACTGTATGTAAAATAGGTGAACAACAAGGTCCTACTGTATATCACAGGAAACTATATTCAATATCCTGTAATAACCTTTAATGGAAAAGAATCTGAAAAAGTATAAATATGTATATATATGTACATATGTATATATATATGACTGAATCACTTTGCTGTACACCTGAGACTAACACAATATTTAATTCCACTAAAAAAAAAGTTCAAGGAAAAAAAAGAGCGCTTAAGAACGCTTTTCTTTCACTGCCTTGAAGTAAGAGGATTTTTGATGTCTACATGTTACTAGCAGAGCCTAGAATATACAGGAGGAGGACATTTATTAACTAAAGTCCTATCTATATTAACTTTCAGAGTCTATTCACTTATTCAAGGGCAATATGTTGTCCTCTTTCGAGCTGTACAAGCTCACGGTAAGTAAGCAAAAATATGCTTGCACATCTCTTTGCAGTTGAGTTTCACAGAGGTAACTCGCACTCAGGCAACATTCTCCTACAGTCACTTCAAACAGCAGCTCAACTAAGCTGACAAAGGATTAACCCTCCACGGCAGAGGTACTGGCAGAGCCATGGCTTTGCCCAGTCTCTCTTATTGCTGTGGACAGTAACTGTTTTGTTTAATAACCTTTACATAATGGAAACATCTCAACAAAGCAAATTTACATGGGAATGGGAAGACTGAGCACCACCAAATTATGTATTTCATGAAGACATCTTACAGGTCGCTACATTCTGTCACGTAGTTACATTCAGATATAAAAAAATATTTGTGAACATTTACTCACCCCTATTTCTGTGAACAGCTCTTGCTTTCACCTGCTCAATACATGGATAATACTCTATCTGACAGAGGAGGAAGCTGAGGCTAAGAGGCAGGGCATCTGCAGGCCACCATCAACAAGCCAAAGCCGGACCAATCTAGGGGACAGGGCCCCTTGTGGAGCTCCTTCTACTGCCAGTGAAGGCAGATATCCCTGTTTGAACAGTGCTCACGGTCTTGTCTTTGTGTCAAGAAACCTAAAAACCCAGCCCCAAGTTCATGCCTTAAAAGCTGTATGATTCTCCATGAGGCCCTTAACCTTCCTAAGCCTGCTTCCTCACCTGCAAAACAAGACACCCTGCTCCACCACAGACGACCATGAGAAAGCACTCTAACTGTAAACTGTTGCACAAACATAAAGCACAGTGACTGCCGGCCCCTGGGAAGCAAGGCAAGGCCTGCTAGCCATGGGCATGATGGTTCCCGGGCCTGCAGGCCAAACACAGCCCTTCTTACCCACAGAAGTCTGAGAGAGGTGACATGCCTACCAGCTCCCCGCTGCTGAGAGGGGAGGACAGTGCTGGCCCTGCCGCTCCCTCCTCAGTCAGCCATGACCCCTCAGGCACATCCAGGAACACTGCCCATCTGCAGAGGCGCCCACTGCGGACCAGGCAGGAATAGGGAGGAGAGATTTCCGGGTATAGTGCTTGTGCCACTCCAGTAGACAAGGGGTGGGGGACTTGAGATGGACAGGTGTCTCCAGATGTCCACGCACTTGCCTGGCTTCACCTGCTCTGCAGGCGACATCTTGGGACATGGAGCCATGTGTATTATGTGTCATGGCCTCCCATGCATGCAACCAGAGTTTTCACTGGGTGTGAATGTACATATCCAAATATTTTTACCCCAAAGGTGGACATCATGGCTAAAAAACAAGCACATGTGACTAAAAGTACAGCATCTTGCTCCTGCTATCTGCCCCTCCCCCTCACTACCTCTGGTTTGCTCTGTGTATCTAAATATCCTGTCTTTCCTGCCCTTCTCCAACTTTCATTCATGTCCCAAGGATTCCACAGGGCATGGAGGGTGGAGAAGGGCAGCTGGTCCAGGGATCTTCAGGCATCAGGCTGCTATTCCCTCTGCTTGAACAGCAGCTGGTCTCCCCTCCCCAACCCATCCCACGAGAGGGGCCGGGGCCACAAGTCCTGCAGACTCCTGAGACGACTCGGCCTTGCTTTCTCCAGAGCATACCACACCCACCTTGCTGGGCCCCACCCAGTGGTTCTCAACCCTTAGCTGCATATTAGAATTCCCTGCAATCTTAAAAAATAATACCAACGTGCAGGCTCCTCCCCACACCAACTGAAACAGGGTCTCTGGGGAAGCCTTTCAGGGGGTTCTAACGCACAACCAGTGTTGAGAGATACCAAACCCTAACCTTTGAGATTTTAGTCAGCAAAAGCTCAGCTGCCAAGTCCAACTGAGGAGGCAAGTAGGTCTCCATCCATCCATCCTGAACTCCTGAACTATGGCCAATCCACAGAATAGCTGACTGCCCCCTGAATCCCAGAGTTCTCACTATGGTGATGGCTTTCAGGTCCAGGGCTGGGTTCAAGCATGGGCTCCACTGCCTCCCAGCCATGAGACTCTGGAGAATCACCTTCCCTCCAGGTCTGGATGCTCTGCTCTGTCTCCGTGCCCTCTGTCACCTCACTATCCTTTTGTTACCTGAGGGTACAGGACTCTGCATGAGAAGAGTTAGCACGTGTAGTCTCTGAGGACTGGTCACCGACTTGGATTCGTCACTTATAAAGTGGTGAGGCTGCTGCTATCTCCATACTTCCTAAGTCACAGACCTCTAAAACGACTACTTTAAATTAAACCCTTTGTGTTTTCTGCATGGGAGTGTTTTCGCAGAGACATGCACTTAACCGTGGTTCCCAGCAAACGCTTCGGGGGGACACCTTGATTAAGTTGTACGGGTAAGAGGGCAGGCAAAGTGTGTATGTCGGTTACTTCTGAATTTTCAAATTAGTTTCATGATAACTCAATTATACTAGGAAAATACAAAGTCCATGGTTAACTAGACTTTCTACCAGGACACGCTTCCCAGTCCACGAAGCTGTGCTGATGGACTTCCTTGTGCAGAATTTCAAACACACAATTTCCAACACTGCATCTATGACCTCGTACAAATAAAAAGCTTAATGACTGCTGGTGGCTGTAGGTAAGCAAACAACCCAAGGAAAGATGAATAATCTATCCCCTAAGTTTCACTAGTTTCACTGCAAAGTGGAAGCATCGAAGGTCCTTGTTAAGAATAGCCAGTTCCGGGCTTCCCTGGTGGTGCAGTGGTTGAGGGTCCGCCTGCTGATGCAGGGGACGCGGGTTCGTGCCCCGGTCCGGGAAGATCCCACATACCATGGAGCGCCTGGGCCCGTGAGCCACGGCCGCTGAGCCTGTGCATCCGGAGCCTATGCTTCGCAACGGGAGAGGCCACAACAGTGAGAAGCC